AAAAAAAGGGCAATGTGCAATAGTCAAAAGTCAATTCCATAAAATCGAGTGCTTTTAAAGCCATCTCACAGTCAATAAAAAGTAAAAATAATACAATGAGGAAATTATCACTTTGTACAAATTAAATGAATTGTTGTGGAAATAAATTATTTAACCATTTTCAGACACCTTAAATCATTGCTGCTTTTAATGGGGTTAGTGGTGAGTGGTGAGCGGTGAGTGGTGAGAATTATTTCAAGCAACTTGGGATTTTACATCTTAAAATTAATTGAAATTTTCTATCACTGGAATTTCCTTTTTCCCCAAATCTCATCTAATTTAAAATTTATTCTAATCTTCTTACCTAACTTGAGGAAGAATATTAATAGATATAATATGGTATTTTATGGAAAAAACAAAGTTTTTTTTTAATTTTATAAGGAGAGAATCTCCTCTAAGAAAAGAATAACAAAATAACAAGTGTAACTTGTATAAATACAAATGAAAAAGGTTAAGATGAGACTTATTAATAGAGTTAGTTGTTAGGAATGAATAGAGAGATGTTTTTCTATTTTAAAGAAAAAAACAGATCAATTGGTCAAGAAAATGAAATTTATGTTTTTATTTATTATTAATTTCTTTTTATATTGAAGTAAGATACCACAAGTTTGCATTAATTTCCAACTATTTTCCATTGATTTGCCAAAAAATAATTATTTTTCATCGAAATGATTAAAATATGATATCTTACAATTTTCTTCCCAAAAGCAACGGGAAATTACAAAACACTATAGTTTAATAGGGTAGAGTACTAGGTTCGATCATAACTATGCTGGAAAAACTCGAGACAATAAATATTTTTGACTAAATAAAATCGTTGGGGAAATTTGCGAATAAGTCTAATTAAGTTTATGAGTGACACGGCATTAGGATTTATCTATGTTGGGGGAGTGAGCAAGCAAACGAGCTACAGCAAGGAAAAAAAAATTTGTCCCCTTTCTTTTTTTCTGGATTTGCAAAAATTGTGGCAGCCAATGGAGGGGCAATTCAAATGATTTATTATTATTTGTTTTAATAATTGGATGCGATTGCGAATGTGGGTGTTGGGCCTGGGCCCATCGTCTTAAATTGGTAGCAGTGTCCCTCTCTCTGTGTTCCTATTTCTATTTTCTATGTTTTATGTTACGTTTATGTCCACTCCTCATCAGATATTTTGGTGTCCTTGCCTGGCCACCCTGTCGGGGAAGAGGACATTTACGTAAATCTGTTTCTCCAATTTATTTTTTATATTAATAATGGACATATCATATATGTATATTTATTTTCCCAGTTGTTGGAACAATCTACGATTTGATATGACCTCTGTGACCCAAGTTAGAGCAATAAAATCATTTCAGACTCCTACTTTCACTATCCAACTATTACAAAAACGTCACTTATTATATTGCAGGAAAATTGCAACACTTCTTTTTTTTTTAAATAATAAGTTGTCAATTTTTCAATGGCGTTGAAGACAATATTTAGTCTTCAATGATAAATTTGAGCAATTATTCTCTAAAATTTAAAATAATTTTATCTTAGGATTCTTCGCTTCACTCAAAGGCCAAAGTAGAATAAATGATGAACATAATGCAAGTTGCTAAGGTTTGAATGTGAGGGAAGCAAATCGCCGTGGAACCACAGAATGGTGGTTGTCGTTTTCTTAATAGCTGTGTCGTCCGGGGAAATTCAATATTAGCTTTCGTTTTCACGGAATATTACGTTATTACCCCCGCCCCTCCGTGGTCCCCACCTTATAAAAAAAAATTTCTTTTTTAATTTATTTTTGTATAAAAGTCCCCTTTTTTCATATGATGCTGTTCCTATTTCTGTTTTCTTTGTACTATTCTTAAATTATTGCCACATATTTTGATTATTCTTTAATTTAAGTTATATATTTAATTTAGGGGAAAACATTCCATTTTCACACATAAACGTAGTAAATGCTATCATTTCACTCTAAATTTTCAGTTTCATCAACTATAGGTTTAGATTAATATTGCAATTTCTACTTTCTTTTTAATTTCCACTCATTTTAACAACAAAATAAGTATAGAAAAATCTCTAAAAACTGACTAATCTCAAACTTTGTACAAAATTAACTTTGATCAATCGACAAAGTTGATCATTGAATAACTCTCTCAAAACATACCCGCGTTAACCATAAAAAAGAAATGAGCTCTAATGCCATTTTTCTCTAAAATTATATCAATTTTATATTTGACATATGTTTATCATTCATTTAACACACATGGAAATATTTTTTCTAAGTTCAAAGTAAATATTGCAACAATTATATAAGTTTAAGATACAATTTTGAAATTGAAAGTGTAGGATAAAAATTAGTTATTTTTGTTAAGTTAATCTTTAAAAGTTCCATTTTAATTTTTAAATTCTATAGAGGATACCATGTGGTCTTTATCCGTTTAACAAAATAAAAAAAATAAAAAAAAATTGAAGTTACATGTCTTTTATTTATTTACATAACTGTACAGATATCTGTATGGACAATTTGAATTCACAAGTAATGGTTCATGTGCAATTATAGCTTATTCTCCTGCTCACTTAGTATATATTGAACACAAAATTCGAACTTTTTAAGTTTTAATTCTACAGTCGTTGCACAAAAAAGGAGTTTCATGATAACATTTAAAGCCGTGCCGTATCTGCCATGTTTTTGCAGTATTTAAAATCATCACCAAAATTTTTTCAATAAATTTGCTTTCAACTTCGCACATCACTTTCTCAACACAAATGTAGAAGGGACTTGAAATTCGTTTGGAAAAAGATTTCCTGTCAATTCAAACATAGTCTAGTAGATAAAAACAACATTATCATCCCAATAATCAATTAGTATTTTTTTTTAAAGCTACATGAACCCACTCGAAATGGAGACGAAATCATGTAGGACTAAGTTAAATATACCGACCGAGATACAATTAAGCCCAAACTTCATGAACCAAATTCATAATTACCCTAGTTTCGTTTCCATTAAAATTCTACAATCACTAAATATTAAGATAATGATGAAATATAGATTTTTAAAATGATAACAAGCAATTTCAAGTTAATTTACAATAAGATAAGTCATAAAAAACAAGTCAACCAATCGTTTCGGTACTAGTAACCTTCTTCAAAAATCAAGGTAGGTTAGTTGTCATAACTTACAAAAAATTGCTATGAATATGTAAATTATAAAGATGAATAATATGAATTTCATCAAAATAAAATTTAGTATTTTCAACTCTATTAATGAAATATTTTATCATTATATGATTATTTTGAAAGCCAAAATTTGCATTTTGAAACCGCAAAGACCCGATTGAACAAAACTTCAGCACATAAAAAAAGAAATTAGAACTTCTAAAACCAAAAAACCAAGAATCATACATTGAGACCATAAATTAACTAGTAGGTAATGAACTATATTATTGAGCCATTTAGAGGTGGGACGGTAACAACAATATTGTCATATATTTGGTTCTCTATCACAGTAAGACTTGGGGATATGCATAAATACAAACAAAAAGCAAATTTCACAAGTACAAATGATATCCATAAACTTCCTTTCCAAAGAATCCCTCAAGGTCTTAATATCTTTTGATCTTTAGATAAACTTTATTTATTTCTGTCACGTTCTCATGATTCCATCCTTATCTTCTACCTTCCATTAGTCATGGAATTATAATTCACTAAAACCTTACAACAGAACAGATTCATGAAAAAATAACAAGAGCCACCATATTTATCAAATAAAACAAATAAATTCACGATGCAAAGAAATATTGGGAAAATAAGTCCTGTCATTGCATGAAAACTATGGAAACTAAAAACAGAAGAGAAGCCTGTCCACAAGATCAAAAACTAGTCCCACCACCCAAGAACAACCGAAATCTCTAATGAAAAATAATTAAAGCAAAACTTCTAAAAGATGTAACATTCTCATCAAGGGATAGATAAGGTTCACTTTGAGTGTTGAACTTTTATCTCAGATACCTGAGATTCTTGCCTAATTTTTACCATTTCGGATGATTTGTTTTTAGTCAATAACTCAATCCTCATCTTCTTCATCTCCATCTCCACCAGCAGCCTTCTTCGCAGCTGCCTTCTGGTTCTTTCTCTTCACCCTTCCAGGGCGTCCACCTCCGAATGGACTTGTGAGGGAGAAGTCAATGTGCTTCTGAGAATCAACTCTCACCATGAAAGATGGGATATTAACCACTTGCCTCCCAACCCTACAAGGGCAAAGGAGATAAATGTAACAGATGAAATCATTAACATTGAATGCTTCAATATAGTAAAAGATAGAAATAAGAACAATAAACAATTTATTTACTGTTTTGCTGGCAGCATTACAACTTCCATTTCTCAGGAAACAAATATGATCTTCAAGCAGTTGATCATTAAGCATAAAAAATCTAATAGAAGGTGCAAAAACAAATATAATCGGCTAATGTAAAATAGAAGGCTAAATTATATAAAAATACCTCTAAATTATAGGACTGGTTTCAATTATACACTTGTTGTTTTAAATGTTTCATTCAACAATAAGTTGTTTTAAATGTTTCATTTAACACTAAAGCTTTTAAGTTGTCTAGAAAAGACATTTCATCGTTCATGAAGTGTCCAATGCAAGCATTTGTTCATAATAGCAAAATCCTTCTCCTTGAAGATACACAAAATTAGTAGCTACAACTCACTAAAAACAAAATGAGGATAATTGAAACCGACCACATAGTTTAGGGATATTTAATAAAATTTAACCAGAAAAAATAATATTGGCATGCATTCAAGTAAGAAATTAGAATGCTACAATATTGTATAATTCTTCGGGAAAGAATATAATCAAGCCCTCTACCTTATATGCCTCTGCCTGATGAGCACTCTAGCATGATGGATGGACTTTGCCATTCCAGACTTGAACACGAGGGTTTGCAGACGACGCTCAAGGAAGTTTTCCACAGTAAGTGCCAAGACATAATCAAGCTTGTTCTGACTCTCATCCAAAAGGCCATACCTGTTCATCCTCCTAAGCAGGGCCTCCCCCTCAAAAATCCTACGGGGATTCTTTTCGTCAAGTGTTAAAAGCATACGTGCATTATTACGGATTCGGCTCAGTGCATATTGAACCCGCCACAACTCCCTTTTACAACGAAGCCCATATTCACCTACAAGTTTAAGTTCAGCATCCAGACGCTCCTTCTCATAAGGGCGTCGTGGTTTCTTGAATGTCTTCCCATCTATACAATGAGAGAACCCACGATTCAGAGATCACGGCTCTCAGTGACAGCACCAAGAAGTAGGCATTTCATAAAGTACTATTTAAAAAACTGTGTAAGAGGTACTCTGTCATAGATTAATCTATTAATCTCCATACGATGCAAAGAACAAAATTTTGTGAAGCATTATAAATTTAACCCTAGGAAATCTGAGGCCGCATGTATTCTGATGCAACCCCACATGTAATCCCAAACAGTCGGTTCCCCCCCTGGTTCAATCTATTTCGATTAAACAAGTAGCCTAACATACACAGCCGGAAAACCCAAAAAAATAAATAACTAACAAGAAACGCATAGGAGAAATAGAAGATCCAAAAAAATGGGCATTAAAATGAAGCAAATGTATACTTATAGCAGATCTTTGAAAGCCATTTTAGAAAACAGTGACTACGAAATTTCGGAAATTTGCTGGGTTGAGTATACTCACAGTTCCTATAGAAGGAGACGTGCACCATGATTTCTCCTCTGTTACGGCTTCAGTACCTGTGTGATGTCGATTAAAAGCCCTAGAGACGAAGGCGAGAAGCGCCGAACGGGAGGAAATTTCAGAAAGCGCCGGACGAGAGGAAAATAGCTCGGCGCTTATATGAGTAGATTGTGAGCCCTAGGCAGCCAGGAAGAGACGGGCCAATTCTAAATGGGCTTTGCATAAAGCCCAATTTCAATCTCTTGTGGCCTCTTGGGTGTGTGATAACACTTTTTTTGTTTTTGTTATGTTTTTTTTTTTTTCTTTATCATTTTGATCCATTCACTTGCAAGATTATTTTAAGTTGGTCCATTAAGTTTAAAAATATCTACTTTTTTAGCTCAACTTTTATGTTTTTTCTATTTTGATTTTTCAATCTTTTTATTTTTTAACCATTATATATATAGAAAGTATAAGATGTATAAAATATAAGATGAATAAATCAAAATTTTATGGTGAAGTTAATTTTTTTTTTTTTTGATATCCGTGAGTGTCGAGCAAGTTTGTAGAAGCAACCGCCTGACCCTATAATATTTGATGTTATGAAACATATAGAAATTACTAATTCTTAAATTAGGTGGCCGTCGTGAGATTTTAACTAATTTCCTCTCAATTAACCATAGCCTTTTTGGACCAATAAGTCATCCATGATGATTCGGTGAACTTAAAATATGCGAACTATTGTGTGCATTAACCTCCTCCTCTATAATGCACACACTAGAATAAAGGCACCCAAGAGTATGCCTCAAGTATGGACAAATACTTCGATGCCAACTTGTACTCAACATCAAAATTAGGTGTTCAGGTGAGGCACCTAAATTAATATTTTTTCTAGTATATAGACACCATGATTTGAGCGTTGTGAAATGAGTTGAGATATTGTGCATCATATCAAGCACGATAATTCACTTATTCATATTGCTTTCATGTCGATGACACTGAGATAAATTATAAAGGAAAAAAATATTTGAGCTGACTATGATTTTTAGCATTTTTTGTGTCCTCCTTACTTTCTTTTACCTTTTATTATTATTGAATCTCTACTTTAGGTATAAGTTTTTATGATTTTACCTTTAGTATTGCTTAAAAATACCTCAAATTAATGATCAATAATGTGAGAGTTTGATCGTATTTGAAAAAAAAAATGGAAATGATAGAAAATGTGAAATTCTTAATATACTTTTTTCCCTTCCCTTGAGAGTTTAAGAATAGAAACTTATCCCAACTCATTCACACCGTCTTGCAAAAGATTACACAAAACTCGTAAATTTAAATTGAAAAGAGTTAGAGACACGTAATATAATGTGGTTTCCTAGCATGAGTCATGAGTCATACTCTTACACATCCTTTTTCTTAACAAAATAATCGTCTCCTTGAACTCTCCTAGACTACTACAAAACATAATATATAAAAACGCACTAATTTAATTAGAGATCTAGAAAGTTCATTAATATACATAATCATCATCGAAAATCATGTAATTGCTGTGTTCTATTATTCTATAAAAATCATAACATATATATAAATTTACACACAGACCTTGTTCATAAGCCTTTCGAAAGCTTCAGTCCCATGTACTCCCAAATGGCTACCCTGAAATTAATTCATTAATTTGCATCAATTAAGCCCATACCAAATATGGACTTGTGGCGGAGGGCAACCCACGGCCACAATCACATGGCTACAGTTGTTGGCGATTGGCCCCATCTCCCACCTCCCGCTTTAAATGGAATGTCCTCCATCTCTCTCTCTCTGATCTCTCTCTCAACTCTGCTATTGCCTATAATCATAACAATAATACCCTTTTAAACTTTGCTTAAACCGCTTTTGCATTTTTCTTCTCCTACAGATTCGCTACAGCCTACAACCAATACAATCAAATATTCATTTCTAAATGCCCTTCGAATGTGCAATTGTCTTCATTTATTTTGTTAAAATCTCTTTTTTAATTGAAGGGGGTAGTTGTTCCTTTTGCAATTATTACGAGATTAGACAATTATTTGATGTAAAACGCTCACCAATAAAAATAATAATAATAATTTTTTTTTTTCCTTTCAGAAATGGTCACCGCTGCATGTGTGAAAACACAAACTAGACTACATAAAATGGCCACTCATATATGCTTTAATATTCAAAACCTTTTGTTTGCCACGTGATTCACTGGTGCAAAATATGGGTCCTTAGACACACAGCTAATGCTTGTTCTATTTTGTCCACCTTAAAAGTTAGAAGTGGGGGTGCTGCCATGACCTTGGCTATGTTCTCTTCTACCATGTACATATTCTACTTCATATCTTAACTACAAATCAAAACCCAAGAAAAATGCAGCACTAAAAACTCAATGAAATGTCGACTACTTTGCTATTACTTTCCTACTTAAACATCCCAATGAAATAAGAATGAAGGCCGAGACCATCTCCTCTTTGAATAGATTAGGCAGGCGCGCCGAAGAGGCTCCGGTCATTGACTTTAAAGCTGGAGACTGCAAGTTTGAATACCTCAGGCATTGGCATGCATCCGATTTGTGAAGCAGGAGTGGCCAAACCAGAGCAAACTGAGCTAGCACTTTCGCTCAAAGGACTGCAACCACAACAGTATAACACAATAATTGGTATTAGAGCTGCCCATGACAGGTACAGGAAAGATATGTTATGCTAGCTATGCACTCATTTTCCATCTAGGTTGTGATTTGTGAAGAATCAACAAATTGGGCTTTTGCTTTGAAGAGGGCCACATCCAAGTTGGCCAACTAAGAAGGATGGTTCTTTGGGCCCTTATCACCCTACAAAATGATTCAAAAAGCAAACCGCCTTCCTGAACCTATCTCCTCTATAGTGCCTCAAAATTATGTTTTCTTGTATTTAAACAGTTAAATCTGGACGTTTACTATGAGGTTGACTATCACTTGGCGGTCCCTAACACAACTAGTCGCCCAATATTTCATGTTTCACAGTTGGGTTAGCCAAAGGTTATAACTCTCATCACTGCCCATTATCCCCTCATCTTAGTGCCACTATGGAGCTAAACTTAGCCCCAACAACCATTTTGGGCGTGCGGCCATTAGTTGTCGAAGCTATATTTCAACTAGAGATACTAATGATCCACTAAGGGCAACTATCAAAAGAAGCATCCGAACTATATGATCTTCTTATCACACGGTAGTTTCAAATTAGAATTCTACCAATTAGTTGCATCAGGAGATCAGCTTTTGTAGTGAGGGGAATGTGAACGCCTTAAATAAGTTTGTCAGGAGAGTATATATGTGGAGTGATGATGTAAATAGTCGGGGATTATGCATCTAAGAAGACAATAAGGGCAAAAAAAATCTCGTAAAAGACTGGGATTTCTTTTCTTTTCACCTTCCTTCCAATTTAACTAACTGTGCATTTCACTCAGAATTCTATCCAATGGTTCATTTCCCTTTTATTTGAGAGTGAGTACTCACTTTATAAGAATGGGTTCATATGCACAGATTAGCACATCTGTGTAAAAGACTGGGATTTCTTTTCTTTTCACCTCCCTTCCAACTTAACTAACTGTGCATTTCACTCAGAATTCTATCAATTGTTCATTTCCCTTTTATTTGAGAGTAAGTACTCACTTTATAAGAATGGGTTCATATGCACAGATTAGCACATCTGTACCAACTCCTTTAAGACGTAGATTCGCCAAATAAACCTGCATAAAACAATAAACAGATTTACTTTATGACTCATTGGGAAATGGGAAACACCTAAACACTAGAGTAAACAAAATGAGAAGGCTACCCGGACAATATTTTGGGCTTCTCTTCCTTGCCGGCCCTTTGAAATTGCCTACA